TGCCTGCGCATGCCTGCGCATGCCGACGCGCATGCCCGCAGATGCCTGCACGTGCGGAAGGCGTGCGAGCATCGCAAATCGATTGACCAGTTCCTCTTCATCCCCATCATCCTACATGGCTCCTTTTTTCGGCGGCGAGCGAGGGGGGGAAGCGAGAAGGAGAAGGGCTTCTCAGAAGGTTCGGAAGTCCCCCTGCCTTCTGAGACGTTTTCTAAGCGTTCCCCGAAGACAAACGAACACTCCGCAGAAGGCGCGAGGGCTTCTGAAAAGTCCCGCTGCCTTCTGAGAAGGCCTTCTCCTTCTCATTTCCCTCCTCGCTCGCCGCCGATTTTTATGAACTCATCATCCTCCGCCTCTCCTCGGTGCCGGTGCTATTTCGTGGGGTCGATTCTGTGCCCGAGCGAGGAGCAAGAAATTCGTGGTGGTTGCCACCGCGGCTTCGAGCGCATTCCCAATTGCGCATTTTTGGTCCGTCTCCGGTTGTTGGGTTTCTCTTTCCCCTTCTTTTTTTTACCACCCACAGTACCACCACCACCAGAACCCACAGAACCCTTCCTGCCTGAGAATAAGCACAACAACGCGGAGGTAACCCATGCGATGGCGTCCGGAGGCATTCGATTCCGTTAGGCCATCGTGTCTGATCAGTTCGATTGCGCCACATGTTTCCAGGGAGGAGGATGTCGACGAGCGAATGAGGAGGAGGAGGAGGAGGAGGAGTAGGAGGAATGAGGAGGAGGAGGAGGACGACGAAGAGGAGGAGGAGGAGGAGGAGGAGGAGGAGGAGGAGGAGGAGGAGGAGGAGGGTGGGCCCCGTTTCGCATCTTAATTGCAGTTCCGAGCACTGTTTTGATTCATCGGAGGAAGCATTCTGTGCGCTTGCAGTTTTACAGTTCTGTATCTAGGTGCCCGCGGCAAGCCCCGCCACCATGCCCGTGCAACAGGTCGCAGGACGGATACGTGCCGTCATTCGTGCATGATCGCCCCATCTTCACAACGCAAAATCAGATGCAGTTCTTTCCTGACTTCATCATTGCGAATGCTGCCCCTGAGGGCACCATTGACCTGATCACGATCCACCGCAGTTGGGAGAGTTAGAGGAAGATGATGGAGGGGTTTCGGAGGAACACTGACATGATAGAAGATGGTTTGGATGTTTTTTTAGGCGGCGGAGGTATTGCGGTGGCGGAGGACCGCACCGTACCCAGGATTCTCGGTGAGGGCACCTTTCAAAAACAAAACCGCGGTGTGCATTTCTTCAACACCATATCTGCGCCTTTTTGGCCTTCCAAATCAGTTTACTTTCTTCCGATTTTGGCGGCGATCGTTCGGTCGATCCCTGGCCGTTTAGGTCGATCCCTGGCCGCGACCGTTCGAGGTTGAACGATCCATGCGGTGTCAGAAACCAGCTCCGACAGAATCGCGACGTGAGCCTGCCGTATGCAGAAGTACTGTTTTACTCCTCGCAGCCCGTGTCCCGCTCCAGGGCGGAGCTGCTCAACGTGCTGCAGATGTCCTCGCTCCTCTCCGTGGCGCTCATCGAGCTCACCAGAAAGATGGAACGGGTGCGCTGCCCAGTCAACAAATCAGCGGAGGAAGAGGAGGAGGAGGAGGAGGAGGAGGATGAGGAGGAGGGTAGGTCGGAGAAGAACGAGCAGGAGGAGGAGAATGACGATGATGAGGAGGAATACGGAGGTGGAGGGGGACTGCAGGCGTGGATGCGGATGCGAACGATGGTGGCGGTGGTGGTGGTGCTAGTGTTGGTTCCGACGAAGACGGCTATATTGTTGCTGCCTGTTGCTGCGGAAATCACGATGTGAGGATCATACGATGGCGATAGCGATGAGGGCCTCCAGACTTGATGATATCACGACGCTGTTGGACATGCTGCCGTTGAAGACGATGCTGGTGACGATGACGACGACAATGATACTTCTGATGAGAACGCTGACGACGATGGCGATGACGATGGCGATGCCGATGGTGATGATAACGACGATGGCGATGAGGATGACGATGTCGATGACGACAACGGTGATGATGACGATGCTGCGGATAAGGATGACGATCGCGATGCTGTCGACGATGACGGTAAACGATGCCGATGACGACGATGTAAACGATGACGACGACGTCGACGACGACGATTATGATGCTGATGCTGATATTGTTGATGATGATGATGATAATGATGGTGTCGATGTTGCTGCCGATGACGATGATGCTGATGCTGATGCTGGTGATGGTGATGGTGAGGGTGATTCTGATGATGGTGTCGGTGATGGCGATGCTTATGCCCATGATGCTGGTGATTCGTTTTTGATAACGGTGTGCATGACGACGAGGACAGCGACGCCGACTAGGATGATGCCGATCCCGATGACGCCGCTGATTGTGATAACGACGGCGAAACAAGCGATGATGGTAATGACGACTCATCTGGTGATGCTGGGTTTGATGGCGATGGAGATGCCGACGCCGCCGACGATGCTGATCCAGATGA